TGATGTAGTGCCTACGGATATGTCATTCAACTAAAAAAGGAAATTCATGTCTGATATGAAAAAGGTTTTCAAGGAAGAGCCTTATTGGTTTCATCTCTATGCTAACGGTATTATTCGTCATTGTGTTTCTCAGGTAGAGATAATGAGTATATTAGAAGCTTTCCATTCTTCTCCTATTGGTTGCCATCATAATGGTATCCATACTGCTCATAAGAACTTGCAGTGTGGGTATTCTTGGTCTACTACTTGATGCTCATGATTTCACCAAGTCTTGTGATTGTTGTCAAAGAGAAAGAGTATTTCAAGGAAGCAAGAACTCCCACTTACTCCTTGGTAATTGAACTGTTCAATGTTTGGGGCCTTGATTTTATGGGTCCATTTGTAAGTTTGAATGGGATGAAGTACATACTTGTAGCGGTTGAGTGTATATCTAAATGGGTTGAAGCTGTCGCACATTCAAACAATGGAAGAAATAGTCTCACTGCATTTTTGAAACAGAATAGCTTCTCCAAATTTAGTAAACCCAGTGCGATTATGAGCGATCGAGGTTCTCACTTTTGTAATAAGTTGTTCAAGGGGTTGCTTCAGAAGTATACTGTTGGACACATTGTAGCAACTCCTTATCATCCGCAGTCTAGTGGTCAAGTTGAAGTTTCAAATATATAGATTAAGCAACTCCTTGAAAATACTGTGAATGTGAAAAAAACTTATTGGTCAAGAAACCTTGATGATTTTTTGTGGGCCTATTGTACTGAATTCATGACTCCCAAAGGTATGTCTCCCTACCAACTTGTGTTTGGGAAGTCTTCTCAATTCACTGTAGAGCTAGAGCATAAGGTGATGTGGGCACTCAAGAAGTTGAATCTAAATTGGGATGTTGCATCACATAAGAGGTTGAATGAGCTAAATTAACTCGATGAGTTTCTCCTAAAATCATATGAAAGTACAACCTTCTATAAAGAAAAGATGAATAAGTACCATGATCAAACGATCGAAAAGAGTGAATTTTCTCCTGGTGATTTGGTCCTTCTATTCAATTATAGGTTGCGTTTATTTCCTGCCAAGCTCAAATCAAAGTGCACCGAACCATTTAGAGATGTACAAGTGTTTCACATTGAGTGGTTGAACTTGAGAATGAGTAAGGACAAGATTCAAGGAAAATTGACAAAGGATAAAATCTACTTGGGGAAACCAGAGGAGGTCAAAGAGGTGATCGAAGAATGGGATCTTAATGAAGTATTAGTATTCAAGGGGTCTATGTTGTGCCACGACGTTAAGTCAAGTGATGCTTGGGAGGAAACCCAAGATCTTATTTACCTAGTTTAGCAAATTTCCTATGCTTTAATTTTTATTTTTGGCTCGAATAGGTTAAGTTAGGGTCTGTGTCCAAAAAAAATCAAGTAAATGTAAGAGGAATTCCTAATGTTTGCTACATGTGAAGGAAAGAAAGAAAAATCTGGAAAACCTTTAGGTGCAAAGGGACCTACAGATGGATCCCACGGGTCGTATGAATTCCTATCAACCGTAGGCCTTGCTCGTAGAACTTCACGTAAGAAGAAACCTTTGGCTACTAGTTCTACGGTTCCCATCTATGAGTTGTCGCTCATTTAACAAACTGTAGATGGCAAACATAGAGCTTATGTCCAAGTACAACTGCAACTTTAAGTCTACAGGTGCATAGTACAAACCGTATAAAACTTGATGGTCCGTAGTTTGAACTCATAAAACCAAGGTATGTTTCCTGAATTAACCTAAGTGTAGAACAGAATGACGGAGGCTGTCTACGGATCGTAAGAATTTCTATGGTCCGTAGATGGGCTTTCGTCGAAACCTTTCAATTTAAATTAAATGACCCGAGACATGACTCCTTTTTCAAATGAAACCCCTCACTTTCAAATTCATCCCACCTTTCCCACTATCTTCAACTGTCGCAACCTTTTCTTTCTCCTACCATTCTACCATAACTTCCAACCCTTCAAATTCAACTTCTCACCATTTAAACCCTTCTTCCCTTTTCCTTTCTTTTTCCTTCTTCCTTTCTTACATTTTCTCAAACTTTAATTCACCATATTCAAGGCAATTCACAGGTCAGTCAAACATGAAGTGTGGGCTTCGAAGGTTAAGTGTCTAGGTTTGAAAATGCACTCACACAACGTCAAATCACTTTTCAAGGTATGCTATTCGACCCTCGAAATGATTCAATTTGGCATGTGGTTGAAATTTGAAGGTGATACTTGACCTAGCGTGTTAGTGATTTGCTTGATTGTTTAAAAATAATCATTGTGATTACATTATTGTGAGTGTTGTCAATTTTTTGCATATGTATCATAGTCTTATTTGTATAACTAGTCATTGTGTAGTGCTTGCCTTCAAATAACCCCACTGAGACTGGTGTCGTTTACTCTAGGCCATGTAGAATCCTATTTATCATGGTCTCAGAGATTTCCATGAGCTTACCCCACACTCACACTGTGTCTAGTGGTCCCTAAGTAACTACGACTGCTTTCTGCCCCTTTATTATTGTTTAAGTGTCTACAGTAAAATTCATAAGTGTCGCTACATAAGAGGCGTATAACTCTCTGGTTTGGTGGTGTGCAAACTCTCACTGCGTGTTGTTCATCCATTCAAACTGATGCATTTGGAAGAGCCTGCAAATTTCCCGGGATGTGTGGATTTATGCCACTACCACTCTAGACTCGGGTATAATTGGTCGCCTGCCAAAACCGCCAGCCCTGGATCTGCAATACTCAAAGAATTCATCTGATCTGGGAACTGTCCACATCCAGCAAAAGTAGTCAAATATTTTTTGCCTCACTACTGGGTAAGATTCTCGCTAGTGAACATACTGCACCATTGGTTCCCCAGATCTATCATCAGCACCCTCTTCATAGGCCTCGTCATCTTTCAGTACTCCAGTTTCTTCCTCTTCACCCTCCTCTGGTTGAGGTTCATATGTACTCACTTGGGAGCTGCTTTAAGATCCTTACTCACTCTCGGACTCACTGCCTTTCTCTTTATACTGGGAAGGAGTATGTTGCACAATAACTCTAGCTGTCTAATATCTAGTAGCTTGGGGAGAGTGATCTTCAATCTCTATAGTTATCCAACTTGGAAGCTACTCGAGTCCTCCTCATTTGGACTTTGAGCTGGAGAAGGAGATGGTGAAACGTATGATTGTGTGGTCTTACGCCTAGGTCCCATTGTTCCTGAAAAAGCAGAGTTAATAAATATATCCACTAAATGACCCACTAACGGGTACTCAGACTCCCCTGTGTAAGTATACACAGTGATGCCTTGCCTTAATAATGGCGTCACCCAATCTATCATTACGAAGGGCCACACAATGAAATAAAAACAAAAACAACAAAAATTAATAAAATTAATAAAAGATAGAATATATATTTGTTTTTGTTTATATCTAAGAGGCACTATAAGGTCCGTGGTGGGTACCACGACTTGTTTAGGACATCGTGAACATGATCTAGTGTTGACCCCTTCATTGGTGAGATATCATGGAGGATTTTACGGTCTGTGGTAAGCACAGCGGCCCGTTATGTCCCTCGTGAAAAGTTTCCAATACGTGTGAGTCACCCAAGTGTTGTTCACGAAGTGTTTCATGAGTCGTGCTCCCATGAATGGTGCGTGAGGCCTCTCATGTACTTACAGAACTTTTTGTCCCTTTTCAACCCTATTCAATTAGACTACTCTTAGCGATCATAAACTAATGCAAAAATGATGTTTCCTATCATTTCTATAGCATAAGTACAAAAAATTGATTCAACCCACACAAAATATTCATCAATATCCACAATTTTGCATCAAGTTCAAATATTTCTACCATACCCATAATCAAACAACTCCTATTTTCACATTCCAATTCACTTTGCTCGATATACACAAGTGTGCAACATTCAACTATGCAATTCGGACTCAAATTAACAGCTACATCCATCATTCATCGTAAATCCATCACAAAACTCCAATACCCACACAAAAATCAAACAATTCAACAATTTATTACATACCCACAACATATAAACCCCAAAAACCAATTCATCAAGTAATAATACAAAATTCGAACAAAGATTTGTAGTTCTAAGTTGATTATAGATAAGATCAAACTTATATCAAGTAGGAGATGAACTTACTTCAAATTTTCTCAAATTTTCGCACAAAAATGAGAAGATGAAATTGATTCTACGGGTTTCCTTGCAATGCAGACTTAGGGCTTAGATATTTCTTTGATTTGAAGTTATCGGTGATGCAAAACAGTTAGAATGGCTAAGGGAGACGTTACAAATGGAGATAAAGTGAAGGAACCTGACTCTTGGTGCTTTGGATGTATTGAAAACCAACAATTGGTTTATCGGGTCGCGCGGGTCTGGTTAGGGGATCACTAATGACTTACTCGTAATGGGCCGTGATGATGCTTGGGAAGAGCACCACGACTCGTGTGAGTGGTCGTGTACTTTACTTGGGAAAATAAACTTACTTGTGGGTTCACGAGAGAGTAGACGTCCGTTTAAGGTCAAAGGAACTGTAAACCCTTTCATGAAATGCATTTTCCAGTATGCTTCCGTCAGGGAGTTATTGACATTACGGGCAGTGAAGTGACTCATGAGGAGCACCACGGCCCGTGAGGTTGATCGAGACGGTCATCCAAGCTCCAGCTCATTATTAATTTTTCAAACTCTTTGTTGCAGACGCACATACTATAACACTATAAAAATTAATGATTTACTACAAAAAATTAAACTACCTATTACAATTACATCTTGGAATGCCTCCTAAGTAGCGCACAATTTAACGTCGCGGCGCAACGTAGGTATCTTGATTACTCAGACTTCATCAAGCTTGCATTCCTCCACTATCTTCGCCTCTTCTAGGACTCCCATGTATGCTTTGACTCGATGGCCATATGCCTTGAACCTCTCTCATTTTAGATTCCCGAGTTCAATAGCTCCAGACTGCAACACTTGAGTAACTTTGAATGGCCCAAACTATTTGGATCTCAGTTTCCCAGGAAATAGAAGAAGCCTCGAGTTGAAAAGTAGCACTAAGTCACCAGGGCTAAAAGTGCTCTTCTCAATGTGTTTATCGTGATACAACTTCATCCTTTTCTTATACAGCGCAAATCGCTCATAAGATCTCAAACAGAATTCATCAATTTCATTGATTTGATCTAATCTCAAGTTCGCTGCTTCATTCCAATTCAAGTTTAACTTTTTAAGTGCCCACAAAGCTTTATGTTCCAGTTCCACAGGAAGATGACATGCGTTTCCAAACACCAACATACACGGTGACATACCAATGGGTGTTTCCAAAGCTGTCCGGTATGCCCATAGAGCATCATCTAACTTCCCTTCCCAATCTATTCTATTGGCATTCACTGTCTTTGCCAATATAGATTTATCTCCATGTTAGACACTTCTACTTGACCACTTGTTTGCGGATGATACGGTGTCGCCACTTTGTGTTGTTTCACCCCATATTTTGCCAAAAGTGCGGTGAACACTTTATTACAAAAGTGTGAGCATCCATTACTGATAATGAGTCTAGGTGTGTTGAATCTTGAAAATATGTTCTTCTGCAAAAAACCTACGACACTTTTACCATTATTTCTTGGCAAGGATACTGGTTCAACCTAATTATAAGCATAATCCAGTGCCACCAGTAGATATTTCTACCCATTAGAGCTCATAAATGGTCCCATACATTCAATCCCAGAAACGTCAAACAATTTAACCTCCAGAATATGTGTCATTCGTAGCTCATGACGATGAGAGATAGTGCATTTCAGTTGACAAACATCATAGCCTTTGACAAAGTCTGAGAAATCCCTATGGATTATAGGCCAATAATATACACTTTGGAAGACCTTGTGGGTAGTTCGTGCTCCCCATGGTGACAACCTACCGGATAGGATTTTCAGGCCTCTAAGATACTCAACATTTCAGCTTCAGGTACACATCTCCTGATGATGTAATTAGCACACACCCTATATAAATAAGGTTCATCCCAGAAATATATACCCTCATAATGTAGGAATTTCTTCCTTTGATGAAATGTCAACCCTTCCTTCAGGCATCAACTCACTGACAAGATAGTTAGCAAAGTCAGCAAACTAAATAATGTGATAGAGAGTGGTAGCTAATAATTGCTCATCTGGGAATGCGTCATGAATGGCTAACTCAACTGCTTCCTTCTTTTCTGCTTCCAATCTCAACAGGTGATCAACCACCTTATTTTCATAACCTCTTCTATCTTTGACTTCAAAGTCAAACTCTAGAAATAACAACACCCATCTTATAAATCTAGGTTTTACGTCTTTCTTTGCCATTAAGTACCACAGTGCTGCATGGTCAGTGTGAACCACCACTCTAGTACCTAGAAAATATGACCCGAATTCTCAAAGGCATAAACTACAACAAGTACTTCCTGCTCAGTGACAATGTAGTTTCATTGCGCTCCATTCAGCGCCTTGCTAGCATGGTAGATTGGGTGAAAGATCTTGTTTTTCCTTTGCCCTAGCACAACTCCCAAGGCCGTACCACTCAAATCACACATGATCTCAAATGGCTCCGACCAATCTGGACCAATGATCAACGGAGCTGAGATCATATTTTATTTTAGGCACTCACACACTTTTGTGAATGGTTCATCAAAAATGAATTTCACCTCTTTTTCAAGCAACTTACACAAGGAATGTGCAATTTTTGAGAAATCTTAGATGAAGCGCCGATAGAACCCTGCATGACCTAGAAAACATCGAATCCCTTTTACAGAGATAGGTGAAGTCAGCTTTTCGATCCCCTCAGATTTTTCTTTTTCTACCTCTCATCATTTTTGTGACACCATATGGCCAAGGACTATGCCTTCCTTGACCATGACGTATTTATATCAGTTTAGCACAAAGTTAGCCTCCTCGCATCTCTATAGTGCCCTGCTAAGATTTAACAAACAATCATCAAAAGTTTCACCTACCACAGAAAAATCATCCATGAACACTTCCAAAGTATCCTCTACCATGTCCGAAATAATGGACATCACACACCTCTGAAAAGTTGTTGGTGCATTACACAATCCGAACGGTATGCATTAACGATATGTGAAGGTGGTTTTCTCTTGGTCTTCTGGAGTAATTGATATCTGGTTATGATAAGGATTCCAATTGGGGATAAAACCAATTTAAATCAAATGCGGAATTAAACAACACAAAAGTAAGATAGATTAGAAATAAGAGATAAGAAGAGAAGAAAGAAAGGCTAATTGATTAAACAATCAACCAAGGAAGAAGAGAAACTTGAATTCGAAAAGAAACAACTCAAATTGGAAACCACAAATGAATAATCTCAAGTGAACTCAAGGTTAAGAAGTCCTAAATCAACAATGGGAATCCACCCATCACTAATCTAGATTAAGCTACACTAAGCTAGGCTAACCTTAAGGGATTCCACCCTTAAACTACACTCTTGAAAGAGTTTGTTCATTTAACATTCAAAATCCATATAGTCTAAGTCTTCCAAAATAAAAGAGACTACTATTTATACTAATAAAATAAAGAAGACACTTCTTTGACAATTTTACCCTTAATGAGGTAAGGGCCTTATTTGGTTGTCTTATTTTGTGAATTCTTGAAAATAAAATAAAGTAGACACTTCTTTGACAATTTTACCCTTAATGATGTAAGAGCCTTGTTTGGTTGTCTTCTTTTGTGAATTCTTGAAATTATGAGATGACCATTTGCACAAATGGCCTCTTTCTTCTTTCTCTTCACTTAGATGGACCTTCCACACATTGTACTTCTTGATTTTGTGTCCATGAAGCTCCTCTAATGCTTTTATGCAATCCATGCTATCCATGTTGTTATCATCCTCCCCTTCTTGAACAAGATTTGTTCTCGAATCCAAATCTTGCAAAACCATGAGAAGGACAAACAACAAATATATTCTCATAGCATAAGGATTAGTACAATGGTTAGCACAAAAAGCATTACACCAAGGGGACTCAATCTCAAGGAACAACCAAGTATCCTCTATTATCATGACTATTAAGCTCGTAGATGGAGAACAAGGAAATTGGTTATTCCTCACATCAAAAGGATAATAACACACAAAATATGACATAACTACAAGCTCAAATACTCCCAAATGCTCGCTGGGGTCAAAATGATAATAGGTCCACATAATGGGGTCATACAAACAAGTATAGACCTCAATGATACCCTGACCGAAATGCAATGCCCATTTAAGATAAATTTGAGACTCACCATATGCAAATAAATAGTAGAGAAATGTGTCATGCACATAAGGGTCATCTAAGGTGTTCCTATATGCAAGATCACAACTAGGTTTAAGGATCCTAGCACTCATTACATTACAAGATGGAACACACAAAGACAACATGACGAATTTAAGATAAACTTCCCCTTCTCTTGACAAATAACTCCTACCCCCGTAAGATGCACAATCAACAGGATCATATGCAAAGAGATAGTAAAGAAAAGGGGTTAGAAAACTACCATTCCCCATGCACAATGTAGGCCCCTCAAGTGGATTGTAAACCCTTAAGAAGAACTTTCCATCATAGGGAAAGATGCCAACAAATTCCTCCAACTTGTTCTTGTCATCTTGACCAAGCATCACTAAACAAGTTCAACAATTCAACTCATTACCGGGGTCAAATGGAAAAGAAATCCATGAACATGGATCAAGCACACCCTTTTTAACCTGGTTGGCACCCTTATCTTCCAATATCATACTCTACTCAAAAGTGCTAACATCATCATATGCAAACAAGTTGTAGAGAAAGGTGTCACATAAATGAACTTCAATCAAGGTGTTCCCAAGTTTTGCCTCCACTTTTTATACTAAAGAATCACAACTCATATAAAGAATTGGAACACACAAGGAAGAAGTAACATTTAACACATAAGCGTCCCCTTTCATCTTAACACTACCCTATCTAATAAATGTACTATCATCTTCACAAAAGATATTTCCATCTTGGGAAAGTGTATCATCACACCATAGTGGATTCTAAAACAATTGATAGTCGCCGAGAGTGGCTACACTTCCAACATTATAAAGTATTTCACTATGCACACTCTCAAGAGTCATGTCATCATCAAACAAGAAATTATCCTTTAACAAACATTCTACCTCAAGATTCACTAGAGAAAAAGAATAAATGGTGTTATGGTCTAAGGAATTATTCAAATCATTAATGCCAACACGAGGTGGACACAAATTGATCTCTCTAGAAGAATGAACTTGGTCATCAATAGGATCAACTAGTGTAGCAACACTTTCATCGCAGGACAATGTACCCTCATTCAAGCTACAAGTACCAACACTAGGTGGACACAAATTGACCTTACTCGAAGAGTCAATTCGGTCTTCAATAGGATCAACTAGTTCTTTCTTGATGAGTCCACAAATTGGACTCATTCACGGCTATATTTTAATAGAAATTGTGTCCTCAAATGCTTATTTTATCTCAATATCTGATGAAAATCTTTAAGTTTCAGGTATTTGAAGCCTTAAGTAAAGCATGGACACTACGTCTCAAAAAAGAACAAAAAGGCTGAAAAGAACGAAGAAATGAAGGCCTGAGGATTGCCGAGTCCACTTGGCAGGTCGCCAAAGGTTCTTACTTCACCTATTGTTCCAGTGTGCTGATCCGTGAAGAAAAGGATCAAGTCAGCGGAAAAAGGGAGCAATCGGCACATCACCGAGCAGTTCTGTGAAGCAGTACCATGACGCCTAATGACCAAAGCACGACGATGCTGAAGGCTAGTACAAGATGGTGACGAACTACACCAAAGGGAGAATTGTTGAGTTGATCGGCAATTCTGACTAATGACGCCGAACGATCCGCTCCAACACAAATATGTGATAACTATAAATACTAGTTAGATTTTTAGTTTTAGTAGGGAAAATTATTATAATTTTCACTTAGATTCGAACAATTGTGATAGTTTTCATATAGAATAGTACTTTTTGAGGGTTTTGAAGACTTGAAGAAAAAGAGGGTTTCCTTTCCAAGGATTTGAACTTGGGTCTCTTGGATTATTCATTCTTAGCCTGTAACAAGACATAAATATTCATACCCATTTGAATGCAAGCTCATTTGGGTATAAATTTGTATCTCTTGATGTGTGGCTAAAAACTCCAATTCTTGGAGTGTGATTTAGAGAATATGGGTTATGATAATTGTTGGGTCTTCCTTGTAGATAGTTTAATCATAGTTTAATTGTGATTTCGTTTAGTAGTTGTGAATGAATCTAATAAATTTTTAGTTAAAAATACAAGTTTATTTATGTGTTTTCGGCTTGCTCGAGAGAGAGGTCGTAAAACTAAGACCACTAGATTGATGGCCAATGTGAGTGGGTTGACATGAGGTTTAGCTCGAGAGAGTGAACCCTAGTCCCATGTCCACACACTCAACTCGAGAGAGTGATTGGGTTGAGGCGTAAGCTGGTCTTTATGCGTCAAGTGGGTGTCTGAGAGGAACGCATTTGAAACTAGGTAAGTTGCTCG